GTGTGTTTGGCATTGGAATTATAAGGAAATTCGAATAAGTGTCATGGTTTGTATCAAGTGAAATAAATCGTTTTATTTAAGTTTAAAATATTTTATAGGTAATATTTAATTGTGTATACATCCTGTATAAATCATTATATGTTGTGTTTATCGAGTTTTATTTCTGTGTCGTATCGTGTTAATTTTCGTCTCAAAATTTGAACACGACAAAATATGACATTGGTTTTTTTATACAAGACAACACAAACATGAATTCAAATTTCCATTTCATTTCAATATTGTTTTGTTTATTGTATTTTCGTGGTGTCGTGTCAACTTTAGCTACGCCTAAACTCATATAGAATGAAATCGTAATATTTAATTCTTGCTATTTTATTATATATTACTGTAAAAAAAATGTGTGCTACCCCTGCGGAAAATTTCTGGTTCGGCCCCTGATTTATCCATCGAAGGATCTTGAGAAAATATAACATTATTCAGTATTTTGAATTCAAAAGATTACGATGATAAGATTGAATTTGATAGGTGATTTTAAAATTAAATCCCAAAAGCTTATCACTTTATCAGCTCCTCCTTAATATCCGATGCCCATACCTTATGTTCTCGTAATGGTTTTCATGATTTTGAATTCACTTCCCCCACGTTCATTCATTATACACAAAACAAGAAAATCAAAAGGTAATTAATAAATTAGGAAACTAGATAAGTTATTAAAAAAAACAGAAAATTAAGGAAAAAATCAAAATTAAATATATTAGGATACCAAAAACCAAAAAACTGTTTTATTTTACAATTTTCTAACTCAATCTTTGAAATCCTGCGGTCTTCCCTCTCTATCGTTCGGCGCCGTTTACTACTCCGACTGTCATTCTCTGGTGCTTCCTCTACGCGCCGCCGGACTTGTGCTGACCTCTATTTGTTCTTTGTCTCTCCACTCCAAAGTCCAAAGTACTCATCGTCGGAGTTGTAAGTTTTGTTTTGTTTGTTTTTTTTTATCTATTAGTCTTTAAAGCCTGGAACAAAACAAAACAAGGTTGAATTACACAATGTTATAACCAGCATAAATTTTACGAAAAATCAATTAGAAATTAGGATGATTTTGTTTGATAAAGAAGTATAGTATTTTATTATTTTAGTTGTTAAAATTTTTATTACCTATTAGTTAATTATTGTCATTAAAGTATAATTATAATTGTTGTAAAAGAATTGGCCCATGCAGTCCAATGGATCCCAAATTTTCTTGCGACGTGAACATGGAAATTCTTTCAAGAACATCCCTAAAGACTCTTGATATAACGCGTTGTATCAACAAACAATTCGAAAAACTCACATACGACCCAGGTTTTCTCAACTTTTACAAGAAACGAAACAAAATCGTATCCGGTTTTCTAATACAAACGGGTGGAAATGGCTACGAGTTTGCACCAGGACCCGAATCAAACAATCTTGATCTTGGTTTTCTACCACACGATGCTAGAATTCTAGCATCTTCAGAGCAAGGAATCATGGTGTTCGAGAGTCCTCATCCACAGCTTCAAGACTCCATTGTTTACCATGTTTGTAAACCTTCATCTAAGCAGGTTTTGCCATTGCCATATCCAAAAAACAGTTATATAACCGATAATGTTTACATGGTTGTGGTGGGTTCGAAGCCATTACATTACAAAATCGTTAGATTATCTGAACATAAAAGCGATACTGATTATGGGTATGTTCGGTGTTAGTTGCATAGATTTTATAGTTTTATTTGTGGAATTGTGGGTACTTCTTTTTACTGAGTTATTAACTAATTACTCTAATTGTGATTCTTGTTTGTATTTTGTTCAAGAAATGGGCGATGCACATCATATCATTGTGAAATTTTCGACTCAAGGGAATGGACATGGAGAGTAAAAGATCATGTAATATTGCCTTATACTGTCTACATCATATCTAACTATCAATGGATCACCACAAGGGGCTCAATCTACATGTTATTGTCGAACAAAGAAGTATTGAAATTTGATGCATATTCTGAAGAATGGACAACCTTTTCATCACCTATTCAAACCCTCTACTATCCTTTTTCAGAAAATCCTCGACTGAGGAAACTCGTAAAGTATCAAGGCAAGTTGGGGTTCGCTTGTATGACACCAAGTCTTCATTCTTGGGAGATTTGGGTTCTTACAGTTCAATCATGGGAGAAACTTCACGTTTTGGACATGAAAAAAGATATTGCAAAATTATCACTAGTGGCGATATATGATGCAGACACGTGGGTTATGAATGAGTTCAAGACACTTGTATTTTACAGTTTTAAAGAAGGTGGTTGTATCAGTAAAGCCCGAAAGTCTTATGGAGGTTATTCTCCTATTCGGATCTTACCCTTCCGATCTGATTTTGAGCCAATAGATTTAAAGCCAGTAGATTTAAAAGGTTGATAAAAGTTGATGATTTTTGTTTATTTGAAAACAATTATCATATGTCTTTATATAATGATAACTTTTTTATATAATGATAACTTCATCATGTATATATCGAATCAAATACGTCTATAATTTTTTATTTTAACATTGTTATTTGCAAACTTTTGAATAGGTGTGACAAGTATGACATGACGTTGTTAATATGGCAGACAAAAAGGTGTGACAAAAATGACACCATTCATTCTAACCTTGTTAGGATATCCACAATTCATTAAACTTATTAGAGTTTAATGGATTGACACATCATTATTTTATTTACTATACAACTCTATATTAATTTTCTTACAATGCATTAAACTCAATAGAGTTCAATAAAATATATATTTAATAGTTAAAAGGTTTTATTTTTTCCATTGAAGAGTTCAATGGCCTTTGAACTCTATATCCATTGAATACCAACATGGCATCTCATAATGGTAGAGTTTAATCCATTGGATGTCAATTAGGCATGCCACCACATTCAACTCTTTCATTGAACTATGCATTGTGGATACTCTTAGACCCAAGGGTGTGTACACGAACAATCTTTCACTTTTTGTCTGTCAGGTCAGCCTTTCCCTCACCAAAACCCAGGGTGTGTAACGGAACAATCTTTCACTTTATTTTTTTAAATAAAAGTAATTGATTTTTAAGATTTATAATTTTTTTAAATTAGTAATAAACATAAAAGTTAATTAAAATTAAAACACCGCTTCATTAATTAAAATAAAAATTACATTGAAAAAAACTAAGATTAAAATAATTAGAAAAACAACCAAAAAAATAAAAAAAACAAACCAACAACAACCTACATTTAAAAAACAAACGAAACGATCTACGGAAAATATTTTTTTCATAATCTTCTCCCTCTTCTTCAAAACTAGCTCGAGAGCCTGTCCTGAAAGATGATCAATTTTTTCCATCAAGAATCACATATCATCCATTTCTGTCCTCTCTGTGCGCTCCTTTTTTCGGCTTTTTTTTCTTTATCAAACGTCAAACGTTCAGCGAAATTAAGATTATATCGATCAAATGTCTCCGTCATTTTCCGCATTTCGTCCATGTCCATACTCCATACTGAAATCCGATGCACCCAAAGAAGTCCCCTTTCCCTTCCTTTTTGTTTTGTTCCTACCCATCGGTCGGACAATTTCTTCTAGCTCGAGTTCGTCATCCTCATTTAAATCTAGACCGACTCGAGCATCGGAGAAAGTTGTATAACCACTAGAGCCCGTTTTTGTTCTTTTTGATTGTCCTCCTCCTAGTATAAACTCTTGCTTGTATTTTTTTCTACTTGGAATTTGAACCAACAATTTCCAATAATCGTGCGACTTGAATGACTTTCTCGTTTCCTCTAGAAAAAAAAACAAAGTTTCTTGAAGAATTTCTTCATCTCTTTGCCCACTTCTCCGTCGGGTTTTTAGGTTGTTGTACAACCCGTTCATTTTTTAAACGACCTTAACTATTTCTCGAAACTTTGAATTTAGTTGATGTTTAGTACGCTAGTCGTCATCTTTTCCCAACTCCACGCGGAATCTCTCAAGAATGCGAAGCCAAAAATGATCTGTTGACTGTGCATTTCCCGTCACTAAATCCTCTGAAATGCCAATCCAGCTTTCGTCAAAACTAGCTCTTCTTGGCGGATTTAGAATTTTAGATAAGCGGGTGCTTAGACGTACATCGTA